TTGAAAATCTTGTAAGTTCTTTGCAACAAACAGGTCTAAGGACCACAACCTAAAAAGATACATGTATGTATATACATTATTTATGAAGACCCTAATTGAAAGTGATCAAAATATATTAAACAATTTATAGAAGAAATAAGAATGCAAGTAATATGAAAAAAGTCTAATTATACCAACAGTTCATATGAGATGCTATATAATTTTTCACTTGTCCAGTCATTAAAGACTTTAATTGGTAGTCCTTTTATGAGAGAATGGTAATAGGGACAATGATACTTACTGCTGGTGGAAATGTACACTGTTATTAACCGATCTGAGAAGCATTTGGATGAGATCTATCTGGCTTTGCAATTTGTCCTAATGAAATCCTCAGTGACATGGATGAAAGGGAATGTGCACAGATGTCTATTGCAGTCTTACTGAAATAAGGAGCAGATAATAATGTGAATGTCACATTTTATAGTAAAAAATAAGTTTAACTTCAAAGGGTTGCAGTGAAATGATGTTTTCACATACCATAAATGACTCCTGCTGGAAAATACGAGATAGGAAGTGTCTCCTGGTGGTTAGGGGCTGACCTGCAACTGCAGGCTTACTCTGAAGTCACCTTCCCATTGTAATAATGTTGAATTGCTGTTTCTTTAAAGCACACAAATCTCTAGCAGCTGTGGGTAAGTGCCTTGGAAAAAGCCTGTCCATAAAAATTCTGAGCCAATTATAAATTACAAAAATGTGAAATATAAGGAAAAATATATTTTGTGTAAAACTGTTCCCTTACTCCAAATTCCTTGTTACTGTTCCTTTTACCATCCTTCTTTTTAAAAAGCCAGTTCTTGCTAAAACTTTGGCACTAGAAATGAACTGGAATTAAACAGGTTCTAGGTCATTTATAAACATTTATCTGAAAGAACCCTCTGTTTACTTTCAGTTTAAATACACTTTTTTAAATCTCCTTTTTGATGAGAACCACATAAGATGTGAAGGCTAGAAATATTAACCCCTTTTCCTGACATAGAATTTACTTTCTCTAAGCTTAGATTTAACCAAGGTATGTGGTCATGTCACTCATCCTGTTACGATGTTTGAAAGTTACTATGTCTGTACTGCCTTGAAGGGCATGCCAGATAGATTCTAGGAAAATACACTGTTTGGTGTTTTGTGTGTTTTTTTGTGTGTGTTTTTATTTGAGAAATAATTACCAGGCGAGTACTCTGAATTTCATACGTATTGTTATGTCCTCTATTCTGGGTGTTTTATTGCTTGCTCTGAGTTTGGGATTTTTCTTTTCATTTTTTTTAAAGAATGATGGCTGTATGTTTATATATGGGTATTTATGTACATATGTATATGTGTGTACCCATGTATATGTGTATATATGTATTGACTGATGTAAATATGGAGCATGTATAGGCATATGTGGAACAGAGGGGTAAGGGATTGTGATAAGTAAGACAGTTGGAAGGATGCCTTTAAAATATAGCACCAGAAATAACACACATCCCTAGAAAGAGTAACTGAAAAAAGGAAGAGTTAATGTATGCTAAATCTTTCTGTTGTATTGCTTTAAAATGACTCACTATTTTAATAGGGTACTTTTAATATTTAACATTTAAATCTGGCTTTAATTTTAATATTTTGTATCTTTTATAACATTAGCCAGTTAAAAACTTATTAATAAGCCCCTTAATTTATTTTTCCCTTTCTTGCTAGACTGTGTGTTGTGGGAACACAGGGAGGTATAACATGTTCCTGCCTTCAAGGTACTGTAAATAAGTTAGAGGCATAATCAAGTACTAATTTATAGCTCTTGTGTATAGCATTTACCACATGCCAGGTATGGGGCCAAGTGGCTTACGGGAATTGTTTCATTCTTAACAGCCTTGTGAGATGTAGGTACTATTATTTTAAAGTTGAGAAGTTGAGCCAAGACGTTTTTTAAAAGTTGGCAAGTCACAAAGCTGGTAAGTCAGTCAGCAGGCGGAGCTCAGACCTGTTTACCTCTTGTCTTTGCCTTTTAACACCTAGTGATGCTGCTGCTGTGATAGAATCCATGTGGAGATCTGAGTGCCCTTTCCCTTTGTTTCAAGACACCAAAGCTCAGAACCTGTGGGAATTTCACCCACTTGGGAGTCACCACCTAAAAAGTGGGTGTGCATGAGGTCAGACCCCGCCGCAGTGTGTGGGTCAGTACAGTGACAGTAACATGTGTGCTGACCAGGGAGTGGGGACGGAGCCAGCCCTCAGGGTCTCCAGAGTTCCTTCCAACACAAGCCTTGGTATATGCAGTGTTCTGTCCTTTTGTCTGCCTCTTAGAATTTTCTCTTGTGAAAATACTAAATGTGCCCCTTTTTTGTTAAAATTTACATAAGAAAATGAAACAGGAATGATAGTAGGGATTTTGTTGTTGCCCTTGTAAATTCAACTTAGTAAACATTCACCAAACACCTAGTATGCAGCCAGCAGACATCACCACACCATCCCATGGACCACAGTCCCCATCTTTGACGTCTGTACACCCTCATGTTAGAAATCTGATTACTTCTTTCTTTCCTCCACTATCCATTCATTGTTTATGATAAGAGCAAACACTTCAGTTAATTGTAAAGACTCAATTGGGTTAACACTTTCACCGAAATTCAGGATTCAGCTGTGATTTGTGAATCAGAAATTTTTCAGGTTTTTCACTTTTGGACTTGATTTGCCTTGGATGAGGCATTTATGTCCTAGTTAGAACTATTCTTGTGCCAGAAGTGCATAGTGACTTGAGGAAAACCCTCCCCCTGTACAAGGAATAATTGTGAAGGCATTTCTAGTTCTACCTGCTCATCCTTAATTGCCTTCCTGGAGACGAGCACTGTGGAAACCTGAAATTAGAACACGATGAAATGCCATCATAGGAAAAGTTAGAATAGCTAATGTGTCTTTTTTGTGCTAAACCAGAAGCCATCTTATTATACTGGATTCCAGTCTTGGCCAGCAGTCACAGGTGACAGAATTTTAGGGTGGGATCAGGGTAGGATAAATAATTTGTGCAAATGAGGCAGACACCATTGTCTGGGAACTGCTCTGCTAAAGCATCAGAAGCAGTAAGAATCAGCTACTTCTGGTGGTGGTGCAGTGACTCTGAGATTATGTCTGTCTGTCTGTCTGTCTATCGTCTGTCATCCATCTATCTATCATCTATCTATCTATCTATCTATCTATCTATCTATCTATCTATCTATCTATCATCTAAGGAGCCCCTTGTCTGGGTTCTTATGAGTCTTTCCCAATATCCTAGAAAACAGAGAAACAAATACTGTGCAATGTGTCCTCTGGCCCTTTACACAGAAGTTTGAATTGTGTCTGCACATGGGATGTGAGAATTCACACACATCTTTTCTTCCCCCTAGGACCAGGATAGCACATTTCCCCTTTCACTTCCCTCGCATCTCATCTCATATAAAATACCTAAGTGTTTCATCACTTACCCTCTTCATTTTTTCCTCTTAATCTTTGATAAGAGAACTGTAGAACAATTATCTTCCTTGTTTCAAGTGCTTTGTAAATGTTTTCTCTCAAATCTGAGTATTTCCTCAAAATCAGAAAGACTCTTGGTGGCTCACAGGAATTTATTATCAGATTAACTTTTTTATTAATATGTTGGTTAATTTTTATTAAACTGAATCAATGAGTGATAAAAGTCCATAGTCATTGATAATTGTTTTTAATATTGCCTTTATTTTGAGTCCTATTAACTTCTTAAATACAATGGTAATGATTATCCTTTTTCTTTGTTCTCTTAAGTTCACACAGATTAGATTTTATATTTTTATACTGTGTTATAGAATAGCTTTATTTTTAATGTTTTCTATGTATTAAATTTAGCCAATATTCATTTTTAAAGAGAATATATTTTTACATATTTAAACATGTATTTTGTTTTGTACAGAGTCGATATAGGGTACATTACTGTTTTAATAAGCAGGTTGTTTTCTCTACCTTAAAGTCTGGATTTTGAGTGAGTATAAAGGTTTGTTAGGGTAGGAACTGAGTGTACATCTTACTGAGATCCTGAATGATGTGCATGGTAAATATCACTATTCTCTCAAAAGAAATGAAGCCAGATCCGTGCAAAAACATGAAAAGCAAGCAGAATGAGGTGGGAGTTGACTGAGAAAAGGAGCTCTTTTTGAGATTTAAGCCCCGGTGTTAAGTGATGGCAGTGAGCTAGAGGGGGGGCTTTAAGCAGACATGAAAAGTTATTTAAATACTTAAGAAGTCATCTTAGTAAAGGATCATATGACCTGTTGATGAGTACACAATTGAAACCATGAAACTTATTTCAAAATTTCAGTAAGCTTCAAATCATCAAAATACAGAATTTCCAAAGAAGAGACCTGAGCTCAGTCAATTATTCCATCCCCCTGGAGTCTCATGTAAGCTAAATAACTTGCTTTTAGGAACAGGCTGGTTCTCTCAGCCTAATACACAGAAGTCCATTTGACACTATGCTTTCCCTAATTTAGTTTTCTTTGTGTTTAACAATAGATGCTGTCTGTGCCCCAGGTATGTTGTTAGGCTACACTTAGATTATGACATGAAATATTCCAGTGTTTATGAATAAGAGAATTCATCATTTACATTTAAAATATTTTTAAAGTGCTCTTAACTTTTTCTTATGAAATGTGTTCATTAATCAGTCTTTGATAAATTATCCTTGATTTCTGACTTCCTTATTTTGCTTTATAACATAGTTGTTTTACTCACTGATTTTTGAAGAAAACTCTATGATTTGGAACCAAAAAATATATCATTATAACATGTAGTTATATGTTAGTTGATTCTCTTATAAATTATTTTAATGAAATTGTATAGTATCTATTTTTGTTCTCTAAGTGCACTTATAACAATATTATGGTGAATAAAATCTGGCACAACTTTGAGGGGTTTTTTATTTTTGTTTTGTGGAGTCTTTTTTTTTAGTTCTTATTACTAAAAATTATTTTTTGTATTTACAGCTGGTTTTAGAAGAAGTTTTCGTCTTAGTAGAAAAGATAAGAAAACAAACAAATCCATGTATGAGTGCAAGAAGAGTGACCAATATGACACAGCTGACGTACCCACATACGAGGAGGTGACCCCCTATCGGCGACAAACGAATGAGAAGTATAGACTTGTTGTCTTGGTTGGTAAGTGTTTGCTTTTGTGTGTAATTCTGATGAAATAAGTGAGATAGTAAGAATTTCACTATAGATATATGTATATGGAGTCTCTTTTCTGGATTCTTATGAGTCTTTCCCGTATGCTTGAAATTTTTGAGCTAAAAAATCCCGTAGTTTACACAGACCGCAAGCCCCTTCAGGGCCTGAAGCTGAGTATTCCCACTCCTGACCCAGCATCCCTGGGCCAGGTCAGCAGGCCTGTTGGCTCTGCTTTGTCTTGCTGCACACTCTCCAGGCGTGACCCCTCATGGTGTTATACACACCATTACTGTTCTACTTTCCCTCTCTTTAAAATCCACCCACCATTCCTAAAGTATCCCAGGCTGATTTTCCTTATCTTTATCCCTCTCTAGTCTGTTCACCTGTTGAGCAGCCCAGCCCACCTGGGGTGATCCTCCCAGCCACCAAGGAAAGGCTAGGGGCTTGACCTTAGTCTCTGCTGTGTCTTCAGATTTCAGAGGCTGCCTCTTGGGAGGCTTTTGATGGCATAGACAGTGTCATGCCAGTGCTCAAGGACACACCCTCCCCTTCCCGTGGTCACCAGCCTCTACTCCACGGCTTCTCAGACTTTCCTGTTAGCACAGTGTCTGATCCCTCACAAGCTGCCAGATGCCCAGGTTCATTTGGGAGCGCCTTTTGCTCTTCAGCTACTGCTGTTGGTTACAGTGCAGATGCAGTGAAGTGCCCGTGCACCTCAGAAGCCCTGCCGCTCTGTTGAAATGGGTTCAGCTGTCATTACCTTCTTTTGTTGGTTATTAACTGGCTGCAATTAATTTTTATATCACATTTTTCATATCACTCTTGTTTTGTACTCCTGTTACCGTGTTTAAATGATTGTTTTTAAGCCTTTGCTTTTGTCTTAATTTGCTGTTTCAGGATTTGTTCAGTGATACTTAATATTTGGTTTGTTATGATCAACTGATTTATTATTATTGTCAGCTTTTATTCTAAAATGCTTACAAGAAAAATAACTATTTGAAACTGTATAGCCCCCAACACTTTATTTCCCTATCTTGAAGCAATTGCTGGTATAATGTAATTTTTAATGTTTTAATTCTACCCTGACTGTTGCTGCAACTTCTTGTGGAGTGAAAGGGACAGTGTCCTTCAACAGTGTTTCCAGTTTTTCGCATTCTTTGGTGTGGTCACTGCTCAGAAAACCTTTCAGCTTGTCCGGGTGGCCCATTTGTAGTGTTAGAAGTTTATTTTCTGGAGCGTCCCTGTCTTTTATATCCTGCGAGGTGGGGTGAGGGAGACGTAAGAAACGGGCTTCTGGGGCAAGACTGGCTGCGTGCCAACCCGGCCTGCTGTGCAGTAGCCATGTGACACCTGACATTACAGACTTTTCCCAGTCCTCTGTGTCTTCAACTGAAAAATGAGGACAATAAGAGCATCTGCTTTCTAGGTTTGTCTGAGGGTTAAATGAAATACTATTTGCAAATACTTACACCTATTTCTGGCCCCTCAGTTAGGTTTTAATAAGAAGCAGCTATTTTGAATGACCTAAAAATACAAGGCGATATGAATCTGCACCTGTTGATTTTGAACCTCAGTATTCACAACACTTATAAGTTAAATTACATTATTTAGCAGTTTATTGTCTCAAAAAGGGAATCAAGCAGTGGATTTGAAGTTTGGAAATTCTGGATTGTCTTTGAATTAACTGTTTATTTTCATTATTGTAAAAATCATATACTTGGGAAAGAGTTCCTTGGCCCCTGCAACAGATCTGGGATGGTGGAAAGAGCAAGATAAGCACCGTGGCCCTCCTCAAGCCTAATGTGTTTCTCTCAATGTTTGTAAAGCCAATGGGAATAAAGTGTGCCTTAAAACGATTAGATAAATGTTGTTAAGAAGGTACATAGTTTTTTTTTCTCTGTTATTCTTACCACTGTATTGCATGATTTTTATTCTTGGACTTAACATTCAAAAAATTAAAATTGACCAAGTTGTTAACATGGCATTATGACAGGGGAGGGCTTTGAGCTTCATCACAAGTACTTCGTTTTCGAAGCCACATTTCAGCCACTAAAATATCTCAGTGACAGTTTGTGTTACAGTTCTTTCTGCATTTAAAAGTATTTTCCAAAAAACATGTTCAGACCAAATGTCAGGCATTTAGTGTATTTTTCTGTGTGAGTTTTATCTTTGGTGAAACCTGACTTTTAAAAAGTAAAGTAATAAGGCCAGTAACATGTGTTCAGGGGAGGGAGTAGGGAGAAAGCTTTAGTGTTAAAAAAACTATAAAACACTTTATAGCTGAAGCCAATAGAAAAGCAAACTTTCATCGTGTATATATTCATCTTTGGTTACAAGGCATCAGAGGAAACTAATAATAAACCTTTCTATACATTTCATGTTTCTAGCTTGAGCAAGTAAGTGCTGTTCTGTCCTCCTTCGTGCTGAATCTTATATGCTATGTAAAGACTGCTTTGTGAAGTGGTTTGAATAGACATTTATAAGACTCATCATTTTCCATAAAACAAGGGCAGAACAAAAAGGTCTCCCTCATAAAGCAGAGAGAAAAGTAACTCAAAGTTAAACGTTAATATGTTTAGAATTCCCATAGTTTTTATTTTATTTTTAATCAACATATTTGCTTTAATAAGTATATACAAAATCTTTTTTAAACTATGTTTTATTGATTATGATAATATAGTTGTCCCATTTTTTCCTCCCCTTTATTCCCCACTGCCCTGTTCTCCCCACCCCCCACCCCGCACCCACATTTCACCTCCTTAGTTCATGTCTATGGGTTGTACATATAAGTTCTTTGGCTTTTCCATTTCCTATATTATTCTTAACTTCCCTCTGTCTATTTTGTACTTATCATTTATGCTTTTTAATCCCTACACCTTTTCCCCCTCCCCCTTCCCAGCTAATAACCTTCTAAATGATCTCCATACCTATGATTATCTTCCTGTTAATGCTTAGTTTGTTTGTCTGGTTTTAGATTCAGTTGTTGATTATTGCAAATTTGTTGCCTTTTTAATGTTTATAATTTTGATCTTCTTTTTCTTAAATAAGTCCCTTTAGTATTTCATGTTATAATAGCTTGGTGATGATGAACTCCTTTAGATTTACTTTGTCTGGGAAGCACTTTATCTGCCCTCTCATTCTAAATGATAATTTTGCTGGATAGAGTAATCTAGGTTGTAGGTCCTTGCTTTTCATCACTTAGAATACTTGCCAGTCCCTTCTTCCCTGCATGTTTCTTTTGAGAAATCAGCTGACAGTCTTATGGGAACTCCTTTGTAGGTAATTCTCTGCTTTTCTCTTGCTGCTTTTAAGATTCTCTCTTCATCTTTAAACTTTGGCATTTTAATTATGATATGTCTTGGTGTGGTCCTCTTTGGGTCCAACTTGTTTGGGATTTTCTGTGCTTCCTGGATTTGTATGTTTATTTCCTTTGCCAAATTAGGGAAATTTTCTTTCATTATTTTTTCAAGTAAGTTTTCCATTTTGTGCTCTTGCTCTTCTCCTTCTGCTACCCCTATAATTTGGATGTTGGCATGTTTGGGGCTGTCCCAGAGTTTTCTTTTATTAACCTCATTTCCTTGATTTCTTGTTTCTTCTTTCTGTTCTGGTTGAAATGTTTATTTCTTCCTAATGTTCCAAATCATTGATTTGAATCCCAGCTTCCTTCCCTTTACTATTGGTTCCCTGTAGATTTTTTTTATTTCACTTAGTGTAACCTTCATTTCTTCCTGCACATTGTTGCCATACACAGTGAGTTCTCTGAGCATCTTGATCACCAGTGATTTGAACTCTGCGTCTGATAGGTTGTCTATATCCCTTTCATTCAGTTCTTTTTCTGGGGCTTTGTTCTGTTTCATTTGGACCATATTTCTTTGTATCCTCAATTTGGCAGCCTCCCTGTGTTTGTTTCTGTATATTAGGTACAGCTGCTTTAACTCCCTGTAAATTTGTGGGGTAATTGCCATGATGGGGCAACCTGCTTCACTGATTTGTGGCTCTGTGTGTCGGGGGCAGGGTTTGGAGAGGGGACTGTGCCGCTTCCTGGCTTCTGGGTGCTTGCCTGGCACTCATCCCATTTCCAGTCATTTCACCCACTCCCCATGTGTGACTGGTGCCCTACCAGCTTTTGCCCAATATCTGGGATATTGAATCCCAGAGTGGGTAGGTTTACATATGTTTAAGATCATGTGGGCCCTCTGAGTGGAGTTTCTTGAATATCTTGCAGTTTCTCCCGCCACCCCAACTTCCACTGGTTTTTATAGCCAGAAGCTATGGACACTTATCTTCCCAGTGCTCTAGAACCCAGGGCTGTGCAGTCTGGCCTGAGGCTGGGGCCACTTGGTCCAAGGTATCCCTCTCGATTATTATACACCACACCTGAATGTGAGACTACCTGTTCCCATTCCACCGCCACCACTGGCTCTCTGCACAATACCACATTTCCTTTCCTCTCTGCCCCATTTCCACATCTCCACCCCTCTTAACTGGACAAATGAATGTGGATTCTTTAAATCCCTGGTTGTCCGACTTCCATACAGTTTGATTTTCTTACAATTCTGGGTGTTTTTTTGTTTTGAGATTTAGTTGTAATTCTTTTTGTGGTTGCATGAAGAAGCAAAGCTTGTCTACCTATGCCTCCATCTTAACCAGAAGTCCTGAGCTGATTTTTGTGGAGTACTGACTGTGGCAGGCACAGTCCTAAGCAGGTGGGTTTGTCGATGAACAACACATTCTCGTCTTGTGGTACTTGCATTCTCATGGGAGAAGATAACATATTCATAAAATTAGTAATAAATAATAATGTTCTGTATAGTTATTTGACTGTGATAAATGCTGTAGAAGCAATTTAAAGCCAGGAAGTTCCAGAGGAATCAGGAATTTGTGATTTTGAATCTGAAGATCATGGTACCTCATTGAAAAGGTCGCATTTTTGAACAGACTCTAAAGTACAGAAGTTATCCATGCCCTCTTCTACTTAGCTAAGGAAG